GCATGAATATTATCCTGTCACAGACAGCATTGTACCTCATGACTGATCTGGATATGTTCTTTTTGACAATAAATGCAACACCATTCCTCTTCAATTTGTCACATCTCACCCTTAGAGATCTACAGAGATTTAAAGAGTATTCAATCCAGCCTGAAAGCAAAGACACAGTTGAAACAGAAATCACAATTCTTAAGTGAGATGCTAAAAAGAGAATTCTCTGGAAGACAAATGAGGAGTAAAATAGAGAATGGCTGACAATCTAATCATTATAACTTGAACTAAGCACAATTACACTGAAGACTGTACTGTGATTTATCTCCAAGTTCTGTAACAGTAGTACTCTCAAGAAGAGAGCACACAAAGGAAATACAACTCCACTGCATACATGAACTATGTATACTGAACAGGGGATAAGGGATAAAGGCCTCCACACATAGATCAGAAGGTGAACAGGTTCGAAACTGTGAAATGGAATACTGGTGTCTGACCCCCGAGATCCCACCTCTCTTTTAACTTGTGGGTGATAGCTATGAAAAGTTAACCTTAAATCAGTGGTAACAGGAGAATGCAAGTGAATGAACTATCTATTAGGAATTGGCCCCTAGAAACACCCCCATTTTGATTCACAATGACTGCTAGGCACCGCCTTACTCTCCATACCCACAGCTCCTCTCTATTTATAAATTCCTGCTTTGGAACTACTTCTTCCCCTACACAGGAAATATATAAAGAACTCATTTTCAAGATCTCCTCTCGTCATTAAAAATCCATCTTTCCTCAGGCGTCCTCTTAGTGATTATAATCACTTACCTCTTAGTGACTATAATCTTTGGCCGGGGCACCTTAGCTCTTAATTCATCTCTTAACCTATTTCCTTGTCTAAATTCTGAGTTCTAAACCTGATTGTAATGGACAAATCCTAGGGTTACCTCCAAGCTCATACCCTGTATAGTCCCCTCCTCCTTAAGTGAGAGGAATTGGGACTTGCTTCTAAACAACAGAATACTGGCTACTGAATTGGTTCTTGTAATTGGTTACATTATATGGCAGAACGATGAGATGTCATAACTGTGATTAAAGTATGCATATGGCTCTATTTTTCTAGAACTTACTAGAAAGACTCTTCTGTTGAGCTAGAAGAATCAGCTATGCTGTGAGAAGAAAGAGAGAAACTGATGTAAGAACTGTTAAACAAAAAAGAACCAAGACTGAATGACTTTGAAAATGATCAGCCTCTCCAGATGATAAAATGAAGAGATTCACAATCAGAAAAACATGCTCGACAGAAACAGCCAACGATGTGACTGTACAACCTCTGCTAAAACTTTACAAAGATTAAAAGGTCACAGAATTCCATCACACTAACGGCCCTCTGAAGAAATGAGCTGGCCTGCCAACCATCTCCACCCGTCTGTCACTTTGCCATAGTATGGTGGCATGAGTGTTGCTATGATGCTAAAAGTTAAGCCACTGGCATTTCAAGTATCAGTAAGGTCACCCAGGTTTCAGCGGAGCTTGTAGACTAAGACAAAATTACTTCAAAAAAAATTAACCAATTAACTTCACAGATCACAACATAACTTGTTCACTATAGTGCTGAGATATGAGGACCCAAGGTTGGAAGGCAGTCAAAATACACAGAGACCACAAGAGTGGACCCAAGCTGACCACCAGCCATGAAGATGGCGCAGGAGCAGGGAGGTTTCCCGTTGTTGTATGTGGGTCACCATGAATCAGAGCCAACTTGATACCAACTAATAACATCACAGGCCTCTCAGTAGAAGGCCAAGAGAGAGAAGGGTTTATACTCAAAAGTTCTAACTGAAATCCACAGAAGATCCACAAATTTCTTGAGAAAATTATTTCAGCAAAAACAATTGGATTGAAAGGGATAAAAATACAAAATGAAAACAGACAATTAGACCCTCAAATTCTCCTGGCAGGAAGCAAACGAATCAAACTATTTGGATGCCAGTCGGTGCTGCCTTTTAAGAAAAAATGTGGAATCAATTATCCAAAGGGCAGTCCCAAGGTTGCCTCCTATTTCCCCACCTTGGTTCTTCTCCCTGGATTTTGTCACTCTTCACCTGGTTTAAAATCCCAGTCTGCTCCTTTTTTATCTAATTATCTTCGAGCCCTACCTTGCTCCATCTTCCTTTCCTGTTACTACGAAATCCCATCCTTTACGTACCTTAAAAAGTTTCTGGGAATGTTTAATCATAAAAGCCATCCCATTGTTTAACTTTGTGATGTTCTCTTGAAGGTCATTTGCAGTGACCTATTCAGGGAAAAGAAACAGGGGGTGGGGGGGCATTAATAGCTGCGAAGTAGAAGGCAGATATTCCATTTACTTAATTACAAGCTTATTGTTTCAAAATGTATAATAGTTTCTATCCTTAACAAAGGTGCTTGTAATTCTGGAAAGGCTTTACACTTCAATAGGTTTCCACAGGACAGGACATAAACTAGAAAGAAGTATGTGTCCCTGGAGTGACCACAAATCCTTAAAAACCAACCTTCATTTCCTAATTCTGCTTGAAAATTAGACATGCAAGCGAAACTGAAATTTCTCCAAAGACTGAAGAGAACAGCTGCTACCAATTGATACCAAAAGTGACATCTGTTTCTTAAAAATCACCAGCTTCAAACAGATCCAGCCCCCTTCAGTCATGGCGAGGAAGCAATGCAAGGACAGACCCAAATTAAAAAATTTCAGTGAACCAGAGCAATAACCAGAAGGGGAAAAGTACAGGTCACAGTACTGCTAAAACTAACTTCCCTCTTAGGGAATATGCAGTCTATAAAACCCATATCTCCTGCCCACAGAATGGCAGCCGACTGCACAGTTTCAACATGTTGCTCTCCACAATTACACCAATAATCCAATCTCCTGCATCAGACCACTGAAAGAGCCCACTCTATCTCTTCTGAGTCCTCCAATCCAGACTTAAAATAGTAATTTTTTCTATTCTGGTGATTATTCCTGTTCACCCAGATTTTTAAAATTCAGAGCTCTTCCAGTTTTGTTTTGTTAGCCATGACTGCACTGTTTAGCACCAGTTTAATGTCCTGTTTAAACTGAAGTCAATTTTTCATTGATTTCCTACTTGTTTCCCCTGGCTCTTTTTGAAGTGCTTGAATATCTCCCCTGGAATCCTGGTGTAGTACTGTAGGATCAGCACTGGACTGCTATCCGTACCAGTCACTCCTTAGAAACCCTAATAAAGGGTCACTACGAGTCAGAACCCACTCAACAGCACTTAACAACTATCTCTGCTATCCCAAAGCTCTCTTCCTCAACACCATCTGTGTTATCTACTTGCTTTTACCCCAAAACCTATTGCCATCGAGTTGATTCGCACTCGTTGCACTCCTACAGGACAGAGTAGAACTGCTCTGTAGGCTTCGAAGATTGTCAGTCTTTGTGGAAACAGAATGCTCCGTTTTTCTCTCAAGGAGAGGCTGGTGGTTTTGAATTGCCAATCTTTCAGTTACAAGTCCAACCCTTAGCCCACTGTGCTGTCACCAGGACCCCTTAAATACTTTTATTGGTAATTACCATTTACTCACTCTGTTTCCAAGTCTTAGTTAGCTCTTATATGGACAAGTGTTCGTGTGACCTCTCCATCCCGTCCTGCCTTTCTCTAAGCAAAGGCTCCCACTCCTAGCCCAGAACTTTATACTGGTTTATATAAGTATATATATAAAATAGTTAGGTAACCTGCTCCACACAGCCCCTCTCCTTTACCTTCCTTTTCTCATTACTTATAACCCCAAAATATCTGTGTATCACCACAACCTAGCTATTTCTGTCCTCTTCCCGACCTTGTGAAATAAGTGATAAAGGTAGCCTGGTTTAAAGAGAAACCTAAGTAGAAAGGGTGCAGGACATGGGTCCCATAGCTGACTTGTAGTTTCCGATCCAAGTACCTTGGCTTCTGGTTCCATCATACAGTAAAACCTGTGTTATGAAGGGGCAGGGATATGAACCTATGTGCCTCCAAGTCGATTAATTCATTTAGGAGACTTTATTTCTTGTGTTAAGTCATTGAGTAAACCACAGTCTCAGTACAAAAAAAAAAAAAAATTCAGTTTTATCCCAGGAGATTATTTCTGTAGGACAAGGCAGATTACTCTTATTCTAATCGTATCCTAAAACTTTCTCTTTTCTGAATTTATACTCACATACAATTTTCAGAAGTAATCTGACTTTCTAAGAAGTCTTTCCTATTAATAAGAAATGCACATTCACTGACCAAAAGGAGCATACAAGTTTATTAACTAATTTAGTAGAAACTACAGTTCTCCACTAAGAGTTTCCGTTAATAAACTGCCTTTCCAGTCGGGTTTATCAGATTGATTCACAAATGACGTTGACAGCAATCAGCCTCTTGAGATTTGATGACTCTTGGATGAACCAATAATTAAGTTCCTAACCTCATAAAGCTGAACACTAGACCTTGGACCCTTGAAAACCTCACCAAGGTGTGGCCACAGAATAAGGTCCAGCCCAAGAAAACCAAGCAGTCTTTTTTCTCTTTAGTCTCTAAATACTTACATTTTTTGGCCATAGGACATGGGGTGCAAACATAAGAGCAAGGTTATAGGCAGACATCTTATTCTTGTCCTGTTTCTTTGCTGTCTGGTACAGGAGATCAAGCAACAACTTCAGCAAGTTACGATTGGGTGGAGGGAGAATGAGGAAAAGCAACTGAAGAGCCTCAATTTGCCGCACCTTATCTGGTATATTGGTCTTGTTGCCTTTATCATCAAACTGCATCAAATCTAGAACGAAGGAGGTCATTGAAAAGGAGAAAGAAAATAACAAGGGGGTTTTTAAAAAATAAAAAAAATCAGTGTTCCTCATAAGGAGCTCTGGTTGT